GTCCGGCTGGCGGTCTGAAGACACTGAGCGAGCCCAGGGAATTCTGGGAAACACTTTCCAAAGCACAGCTGGGATCAGAAATAAAACCATCACTTATATACAAAGGCTTGTAAGAAGTCAACCAAATATGTTTTAACATAAAGACTGATATATAAACTCCTGACAACAGAGGACACGCCTCATCAGGGAAAAATCTTCGGAGCAGCATCAGGAAGACAAATTGTTTTTAATTGTTTAGCAAACGGAAATATCTGTCATAAATAATTTTGTGACTAAATATTATCCTATATTGTATATTCAAATTTCAATTTATACTTTGAAAGAACTATTGAAAATATTTAACTGTCACTGATGAATAAATGTGGATTTTGGTAAATAATGTGCATTATACATTTTATACATTATATTTGAATATTAACCAGCAATTATGATATATCTAATGAGGAAGGTACTCTTAAAAGTGTCAACATGTCAGAGAAGTGTGGAGAAAATGTTTTCAAAACTAGTCAATTGTTATTTAAATTATATATATATATACATATATATATATTTTGTGTCATGTAAAGCAGCTTTAAATATATAGAAATAACATGTTAATGGCTTTACTGCAGAAGACGTAAAACATTTTGTTTTAAGTAACAGACGTGACGTTTTTTCAAACTCAACAGCTTTTAGTGGAAATCAACATTCTGAACATTTCATAAGCATGCACATATCCAAAATAATCTTTTAAATTTTGCATTTGGAAATACAGATTACAAAATAGAAACAATAGCAAAGACAATATACAACAGGATCGAACACCATGCACGTCCACAGCAAACACGCTGTGACGTTGTAAAATGACATCGGGACGCTTTTTTGAATCAGCATTTTCTGAAAATCAAGACTATGTGCAGAGAAACATCTGTCTTCCACATTCAATTTAATTGACATTTTCTTTCATCTTATAAACAAATGGTCACATAAGGAGAATCACATGGCAACTACAGATATTTTACTACGACTCACAGGACAGCAGTGGTTTATGTTATTATCACTAGAAGCTTTAAGTGGAACTTAAACTATGTTTTTCCAGAGACAGTTGTAGTCATTTAGAAAACCCTGTGTTATTAAAGGGACATTTTATTCAGACCTAAAACACCCTGGGAACAAGCAGTAAAGACGGAGCAGCAACTCTTTCTTTTTCACGTGGGATCAATGATACGCCTTTTAACACAGGACTCCTGTTTAAGACTGCTCTGCTTCTTCAGTTTGGGACAACATATCAGCTTCACTGCTTTTCAACACAACATAAGCTGCGCTAACAAGTAACTCAAGAAGTCAGTGGAGGCTCAGACCATAACGAGCAGATGAGTAAACACTGCATAACTTGGAAAATATACATTTATTTTGAGGTGATTTGTTCATCTCGAGACGGAAACGGAATTTCGTTCAGTAGCCATAAAAGTGTTTCAGTGTTTAGCTTTAGATGCCTTTTTTTTGTGAAATGACCTCAATGTCTCAAAATGCTAATTCATGCTCTACACGTGAGAATGTTTCACCACCAAGAAAGGATCACGCAAAGATATCCAAGTCTGCTCAACAAAGTTTACTGTCTTTTTTATTTCTTGAATTTAATTGAATTAGCTGCCTAGCTTGAGTTAAATTATTTGTATAAATGTGGCTCTTAGCTGACAACAAACCAAAGACAATTAAAAAAGGAATCTAATTATTTGTTACACTATATGTTATTTTCTATCTCTGATGAGCTACAACAGAAGTGCAGACCAGTTGGAGTCCGTCAACTTTTCAGTGGTACAACATTTTCTACCTCCAAATATTTTGCAAGTAGATGTTTTTCTGCAGCATTTTACATTAAATGAAGGATGGTGTACTGGAGCAGAGTTGTTTGAAACATTTTCCTTTTGATTATATCTCATTGTTCTCATGTGACCTGAACCCTAGATTTACAGTGTGCTCTAGTGTTGTGTAGTCAAGATGCAGAGACTGCTTCACATGAGTATATTTCAGGTTGCCACTATCACTGTAAGAACCATGACTCGCTCAATGTGGGGAAGGGGGGGGATGACCAACAAAGAAATACATTCGGAGTGCCGTTCTGTTCCAACACGAGAGCGCAAGCTGCACTGGAGTAAGCCCTTTCTAGTTTTGCATCCCCTAAAATCTTCACAGATAAAAAAAAAACAAGACAAAACATATTTTACAAAGGAAAATAGAGTATTCATCTTTTTCTTTGACATGAAAATACCTCCGGAGTTTACATCCGGAGTGAAACAGTCAGCATCCACATCGGGCAGAACAGTCCCTGCTCAAGAGCCAGGAAGTTACAAATAAAGTGCGAAGCAACTAGTTGACTAAACATTGCACAAAAACAAACAAATAAAACACTTCACACAGTCCCACAGCTGACATGATAGGCAACAATAACTCAGCATAGCCAGATGTAACTCCTGTACATAACTTGGGAGAAGAATCAGCTCCATGTGTCCATCAGGTCAGTCGACTGCGTAATGCACAAGCTTCAGGAGATTCAAGTCCACGTATGCAAACAATCAGTGCACGTGCCAATCTGCAAAACACAACCTGATTCCATTGTTTTAAGAAAGCCAAAGGGTTGTGCTGAAGAAGAGGAGAGGGCCTGCAGGTTTTTTTCTTACACTCGTACGTTGTGAGATGCTACAGTGAGAAGAGAGTGATTCCTCAGAAAAGAAGAGAAGGTGGCGACTGAAGGATTAGGCTAAAACTAGGACGCTGCCACAGGAAATACATTCTCTTATCATTCTTGAAGTAGCATTATACAGAGATGGAGGTAACAGAGTCACAGGAGAAACCCATACATGCATTGCTTTAGACTTTGTGATAGCGTTATGTTACACAAATCAAACCTGCGGAGCTATAGAAGGCCTTCGTTAAGAGGTTTTGACTGTCAGTTCAGACATGCATTTTGTTTCAGCTATAGCATATGTACAAGGTCAGTGTGGATGACCAGTATTCAGCAGGATGACAGGAAGGAAGTGAAGGGGGGGCTCAAATCACTTTTGTATTACTGTTAATTGCTGCATTACTAGCAATGCAACACTGGAGTTTGGGCTCGAACACATATTTTGTTTTAGGGATAACACATTTGGAAACATGTAATATGTAGAGAATGAGTTGTATACATTTGTTTTAGTTGCTTAAAGGAAAAATCCAACAGATTATGGGAAAGTGTTGTGAATTTCTGGGCCTTTTTCTTCCTCTGATGTGACAGGCCTGGTAACAAATGTCCGGATATTTTCAGCAAATAAAGTGAAATGTTTGATTAATTTTAAACATTGGTTCATAAGGTCCAGCATCAGTTCAGTGTAGGATTAAAGAGAAAGGGTTTCTTTCTTCTGCAGCAACTTTGCACTGATGTTTAACAGTCACACAGGAAGAGATGCAGGTGGAGGGATACATATCGAGGTTTGAAAAAACCGTTTAAAGTAAAGCTGGATTTAGGTTTCTTGTTACTCTGGTGTAGGAATACATTTGTAGTTCAGTGTACGATTTCACTCGTTGATTGTCATAGCACTACTGCGACACTCATTTTTCTTTCATTTTCTTAACACAAAGCCCCGATGTTGAGCTAAACCTTCAGTTACAAATGTGTCCACTGACTGAAAAGAAGACAACTAGAATGGTCATGTTGTTTTGCATTCATATTAAAAATGCAATACAATAAATACAAATGATACATAGGGGCTCTGTAACATAGAGAAAGAATGGCTAAATGGACAGTGGATGAACTGTAAAGGGCTTTGCTAGAAAACAAAATAAATGTGTCCAGTATTATTGAAAAGGGGAATATTAAGCCTTTTCTTCAAATCGCTCAAAGCTGTCCTCCAATCTACTATCTCTGCCAACATCAGTCCCATTTAGGAGAAAACAGCCGGATACGAACACAACAGATCTTTCTTTATCTCAGTATATTTGCGGTGTCATTTTCCTTTTTTTGCCTGCTTTCCCACACCATTTCAGAAGAACAAATCCAGCTCAAGTCCAGAAATAAACAATAACACATTAAAGATGGATTTTTCCTTTAAGGGTAGTTTTTTTGTTGTCTCATTTGCATAGGAATCACAAATCTGAAGAAGGCAAACAAAACATTGGATGCAGGGAAACAGCAGACGATTAACACTTTGACTGAATCAATTGAACATCAGTAGATAGAGTTGTGCAGTAAACCAAACGTGATTCCTTTTGGGGAGGGGGTTGGAAAACCTTCCCACAGCGCTTCAGGCGAGTCAATGATTAGCACGTCTGTACATGAACATTACAATATACCAAACATGATCCCACACACTTACACACACCTCCCAGGGAAACTCTGACAAAAGGCCAAGGCAGATTAGAATTTGACACAATTTGTTCAACACATTTTGGCAAACTCAGAGATGATATCAATATGTAAAATGTTCAGATGACACTTGACATGAAATGTGTAAACATTTTTCCGGTAAACAGTTTTAGACTCGATTACATCCCTGGTTGTTTTTGCCGTTTCTAACACTGAATGGAGCTGGGCCGATGTCGGTGCTTTCTGAAATGTTGCATACAATACTGAATATATAAATACACTCATATTCTTTCTTACACAGGCCCGGTATGTACTTCATCCAGTTTACAACATGGGAGTAATCACAATGAAAATATCCTCATATTTATAAATTAAAATTTGCATCATACGAAAACAACAATTCAGAAAGGGGTGTCAAACTAATTTCATCGCGGGCCACATTAGCATTATGGTTGCACTCAGAGGACCGGTTTTAACTTTAAGACTATATATAAATGTAATATATATTATATATGTAATGTATTATATTTCATTATTGCCTCTATATTGGATTATTATCACATAATAATAATAATAATAATAACTTCATAATTAACTACGTCTGAAAGCAGAAGTCAAGGGCAAATCATTGAAAGTCTCTTCAGTGTGCATGTCCCAAATTGAGATGCATTGTGGGACATGTAGTTTATGGACAACGTGCTTCTCTAAAGCGGCATGTAACCGTATAATAAACATATTATATTCTTTGCAAATTAAGACGCGGGCCGGATTTGTCCCGTGGGCCTTGAGTTTGACACCCCTGATCTAGAGCAGTTGATACTGTTCAATATCCAACGATGGACAAATAAATCCTAAACTCTGCATGGTACTGTTGTTATTGACGACCTCTATGGCAAAGGTCGTTAGCGTTTTTGTTAGAGCTTCCCTGTCAAGGAGCAAAAAGCCTCCCCATAATTGCGCTCCTTCTCAAACACTTTAAACCCATCCTTTGATTACTTTAGTGTTTTTGCTCCACTTTAAAAAACATCAACAATTTGGCTATAAACTGTACCGATACAAAATACAGTACATTGATTTGTCAAACCTTACACAACATAATCACAAATATCACTGACCAAAAGTTGAGTTCCTCTCAAATACAAGAAAATGTTACAATAAGTTACGAAAATACGTTGTCACATCAGACACTTAAGTAGAACAGTAGAATACTCATGTAAGGCAAAATCAGGTGATTTCACAGTGACGACTTAAAAAGATTTAAGATTTTAGTGTTTAAAAACAGACGGCTTTCTTCACTGAGAAGACGCTCAGTCTGGATATATATATTGGCTTTTCACTGGCAGAAAATTAATTTGGACGTGTTTTCTTGCTTTCTAGTTAAATAGAAATACCTGATGATTTTCTCAGAAAAAGTTAATTCAAGTGGCGTTAAACCAACCCTTTTCTGGAGCACGCAGCATTTTGTGGAGCTGTGCTAAAACTATGATATTCAGATTGGACCGTTGGGCTGCAGCATGGCAACGTCTACAAGTCCTACATCAGAGAATGGCACATCGAACACCAAAGAGCAACTATGGGGAGGTTTTGCACTCCTTCATTAACCAAGTAGCTTAACAAACACATATACAAATATGTTAGTAATTAATAAATAGACACAAAGTACATCAGTGCAATTGTACACTATGCGTACAGAGAGCATTTTGGCATCAAATTTAAATATGAAACGGAATATAAAATCTTTAACTAAATAAATAAATAACATGAAACTACATAAAGCATCAAAACATACAGTACATGATGAAAAAAACATTTGGTTGTCAAAAATAAAGCTTTGAGTGTGAAATAGAAAGCCGTCGCGGCACGATGGGACAAGCGAACCGGCTGTGGTTTGTTTTTCTTCTTCTTTTGTTTTTTAATACAGCCGCTACAACAGGTAGGGTTGAGCCCAACGTCCGAGCAGCTTCCTGCTACGAGCCAATATCACAAAACAAAAGTGGATATGAAAAGAAAAAAAGTCAAATGTGCTATTTTTGGAATATATGTGGCATGTAATGGTACACTGTAAACACAGCAGGCTAGCGAAAGCGCTGAGCAACGAATCTCATTCAAAACGACAGCGAGGCCATTCCCCGGCAAGCCACTGGATGTCTTTTTCCCTGTTGTCTTTTGGTGGCGCATCGTTTCAAAGGGAGTCAAGGGCGAGGTCGGACAGCTGGACGGCCATGCAACGAGGGAGAGGGTTCATCCGGCCCTTTGGTTCTCTCATTCACAAGTTAGTGTGTTTTTTTTCTTCTCCTTGTTCTCGACCAGCTTCTCACGTTACAGCCTGTCCATCCTGAACGTGTCCTCGGTGGCGGGGTCGGTGAGCACCATGTCGGGGTCGTTGAGCATGTGCAGTCCGTCCAGGGTGAGCGGGTCGATCTTCAGCTCGTCCAATGGGAACTGAGAGTCTGCGTCGAAGCTGACGTCCCCGACGCCCGCCAGAGAGTTGGTCAGCTCTTTGGAGAGGCTGGGCGGAGACTCGCCTGTGACTGAGACACGTGACGTCAGAGGAACAAGTGGGAACTGACATCCCAAACAAACAGGCAGGCACCTTTTAAACTCGATCTAAGTTTGACAGTGGCAGGCGAGTCCACCAATATCAATTAATAAACTACCTGGCAACTAAAATAACAAAATAAGTTGTTTAAACTTGCATTCAAATATAAATATATTCCTACATATTGTATTTAAAGTGCAACTACTGCAACACAGTATCATTTAGCATTAGGTCAGTGAACCTGTAGTTGCTTGTGTTAAAACAGTAAAGGCTAATTTGATCCTGGGGAAGTTTTTTCGCACACATGTACAATAAGGTGTATCTGATGGACAGGTGGTGTTGCTACCTGTGAGGATGATGTTGGGGATGTTGCCGTGGTTACCGTAGCCGAGATGCTGCGAGTCCTGTAAGCTGCTCCCGGTGAGGCCCATCATGGCCGCCTGTGTGTAGTTGAGGGTGGAGCACTGGTTGTAAAGGCTGTTGGAGTTGATGGGGTTCTCGATCATGTTGAACTGCTCCAGCTTTAGCACAGAAAGATAAAGTCAGGTACAGAGGGGGGAATACTTTTCATTGTTGCTTTTTGTTGCTTTTGTCACCTGGTGAGAGAGGGCATTGGTCTGCCTTAATGTCAACTGCTGATCGTAGAAGGAGTCGCCAAATATACTGCCCACCATGGGAATGTGCTGGAGAAAGAGAAGTGAGTCCCACAAATCAGAACAAATGTCAGGAACGCAGCTAAATATAAAAGTCTGTAATTAAATGAGCCAGAAGGCAAGTTATCTGGGCCCACAGGCAGACAGTTCAGCGATGGACGAACACAAGCAAACACACAACAGTCAGTCTGAGCAGCGCCCGAAGAAGCAAATGGGTTTCATGACCAGGGCTGTCGTGGTTATGGGACAAAAGAGGAGGTTGATGAACCAATTTAAAAAAAGTGATTCTCCTAAACACCTAATAACTTTAATAAATGAAAAAACATGAAATGGAAATATGAAAGTGTGGCTGTTTTCCCCATTGCTCAGGACAGGACACACAACAGGGCTGTTTTAACCGCAGCAGCCCTGTTCACTGTAACACAAACACAATCAACCTGCTAAAAGGGAAGTTCTAGTATTCCTCCACCGAAGTGATATCCTGACATGTTTGTCCTTTACAACTATCGGTCAGCGTAGCACTTAGATCTCACTCTGGCTGTTTCACAAACGTGGCAACAGCAGCTTTCCAAACGAAGATGTATTTAAGAAACAGTTTTACCAAACTGCAAAGCGTATTTACAGAAGATGAACTTTCAGGCTGAAACAACTACCTGCTTCATTGGATCACCTCTCTTTTCATTATTTTAGCCTTTATTTCATCTTTTGAGTTTTTTCATCAGTCAAATTCGAACAGTGTGTTGATTATTTCTGTAACTATGATATTTTTTGTCAAGTTGCAGTAGATCAACAGTAAGACAGTCTTTCCTAAATCTCTACATTGTTGATGGTGGGAAAATATTAAGTTATTTAGGTAGTCAAGGTTGACAAAGTGTAACAACACTGGCCAGAGATTCAAATACTGGAATGTCCCTTGGAAATGTTCTTGCAATGAGGAAAGCACTAAAACTGAAACAAATCTGAACCGAAGGGCTTTACAACTTAATTCGATAGTAAAAGCCCCCCACAAAGAAATCCTTCCAGTCCACTGAAGAAGTCAATATGGAGGCAAACGGTGATTACATTTAAAATATTTTAAAATCAGCTTGGCAAATGTTTTAAGGAGGGAAATAAATCCAACACAATCGATACATGGATACACACGCTGCGTTTTGTGGGAGTGAAATGGAATTCAATCATAACTTTTTAAGTTAACAAACAACCTCCCAAGGGTACCATTAATCAAATGATCTGCTATTCAATAATTAAATTATATATTTTAGTTTTAACATTGCCATTGATAACTTCATTTCATTTTCTTTACTTGATGTGAGTAATTGCTTTACTTGATGTGGCCTTGCACCTTGAAAAGCACTAAACACAGAAAGTGTATTATTAAAACACATGCAAGCTGTCTTTGCCTTTCTGCCAAATGTTTTACTGAAGTCAGGATAAGCTCAGATGACTTTCCCCCATTGGAGAGAGTGATATGTTTTGTTTGTGTGTATGTATATAACAGATGTAAACTGAATGTAGCTCTTTGCTCCGACTAGCAGCTCGGTGTTCTTGACTCACAATAGACCAACGGCTCATTTTACCATTAAAGGGAAGCGTTGCCTTTCAACCAGCTCTGGATCGTTCCAATGAGGTTGGTTTGAGCCAATAAACAATGTTTGGCTTTCTTTCCATGTTATTGTCTGGGGGGCTCTGGGCTCCAGTGACAAGCAGTGAAATCCGAACATCTCTCACTTGCACATTGCAATGTTAAAGTCCGGTTTAAATTCAGCAAATGTTCCCTTCAAGTCTGACTGCTGATAAAGGATCATAGTACGATTTTAAAAAAAAGTCAAGAACATTATTGTTGTTCTATTTGTTTATTCGTAAGGAGTAACAAAACGAGACAAAAAACCTGAGACCCATCATAACTGCAGCTCATCCCGAGAGAAGTGTCTAAATCCTGTGTGGTGCATAAAGGGGATGTCAGACTAGGACTGCACGATATTGAAAAAAACTGACATTGCGATATTCTTTTCCCCTGCGATATATATTGCGTTTTTTTTAACTATATTTAACCGGATGAAGGATTTTAGTCACGGACGTCTGGATCTTAACTGGTTGACTCATCATACTTTAAGTCATGATCTAACACGTCATGATAATGCATGTTGCTTACCCTCAAATAAGGGGGTTCATCTGTGAATGAAGAAGAGTGGTTTCTAGAAGGGATACAAGAGATTAAACGTATTACATTAAACTATAGGAAGCTTCATTATCACATTAGGGAATTAACATACGTGACCAAATTAGGTAATTTAACTTTTTATTCCACAATTAAAACCTTTTTGGTGCAAATAGCAGCACAGTAGTGGACATCTTTTAGACAACATTATACAAATAAAATTAAGAACAGCTATACACCAGCTCCTTTATGCCTTTTTGAACCTCTCTCATATGGTGTAACACCGGCAAAGGCATCTGAAAAAGTTGTTTGCTGTGCATGCAGACTCAGAACTCCACTCAAGTACCCCTGACATGAGAGCCGCGCAAGTTTTCTTTTTGTAGCAAGCAGCAAAATAATTGTAACATGACGTGTTTGACTTAATTTACCTACTTAATATCGAACGCCCTAATAAAAATAAATAAATAAAAACGTCCCTGCGATGTGAATATCGCGGTTATCGCCATGACACGGTATATCGTTCAGCCCTACGTCAGACTATTCATTTTTACTGAAGAGACCATGAAGGCACCATTTTGCAACTTTATGAAACCTAGCTCTACTGGTTGATAACAGCTAACTGCTAACATGTTTAACCACCACTATCGCCATGTTGTCATGCACACAGTGAGGAGTGAGGGACAGGGGTGATGAAGAAATGAGTTATGCAGCTGTTGACACCATGAGTGGTTACTGCAGGTACAGAGGATGAAAAGCAGCCTAAACTCATCTACAGTTAGCTTTCCCCCAGGCGCGAAGACCTTCCCCAAACAGCAGCTAGCTCAGTGGGTGGGCCCTTACTTGAGGCGAGCCGCCGGGGGAGAAGCCTTGATTGGAGACGGGGGAGGTTGGAGACTGAGTGGCTGGTGAGCCAGTCTGATTGCGGTACTGTTGGAGGGAAGAGGGTTAGCTAGCACTAAGCTTCATGTCTTTCACACACAGATCTCAAAGGACGGGATGTGAGAGGGCATCACGCATCGATCTGATCATTATGTACAGTGTGGGGAATTATACCAATCACCACCAGATCAATTGCGAAAACTCTTCGGCTGTTTCTGATGTGATTCTGGAAAGTGTGATTGTGGAATCTGCTAGTCCTACTTTGGTTAAATGGTAAAGGTAAAGTGGTGTATTACTGTGTATCATAAGCTTATTTCATCTAATTGCTTGCTTCAGTTCACACTCATCCATCCAATAAAATAGGAAAATGATCCTACACAAAAGCTTACAAAGTGCTATATATTGAGAACATATAAATCAGATTTAAAAGACAGGAAGAAATCTTGCTTCAAATGAACATAACAAAAAAGTTAAAAAGGCATACTTATCAGATGATGAGTTTATATACATTTCCCCTAAGGAGCACAAAATCAGTCTCAAAACCCAGTGACTTAAAAATAATACTGATATTTCCTGGCATGTATTTTGTGTATCTTAATAACTTTCAGAACAATAAGGCGGCAAAATGATTAGAAGATTAAACAAAATGTCTTTATCTCTGCTTCCACCAAACGTCTTCTTACCGAGCCGATGCTGATGCTGGCGCTGGTCTGACTCTGGCTGTCTGGGGAGGGGCTGCTGGAGTTGGTCCCGGGGGAGGCCAGGGGGGGCAGGGTGATGAGCTGGATGCCCTGCGACAGCGCCTGCTGCTGCTTCAGGAGGTCGTTCAGCAGCTGAGCCTGGGCCTGCGCCGTCAGCTGGTTGAACAGAGGGAGCTGGGAGAGCTGCTGCTCCAGGGTCAGCGACTCTGTGGACATGTTCTGAAGGAACACGCATTGACTCTGTTTAGGCTGGTCCCGAAAAATGTGACATAAGTTAAATGTACGGAAGAGCATTTCAGTGCAATTCAGTTCCTCGTCTTCCGAGTGCCAGGCTTTCGTTAGTATACATTTTGCCTGTTCCTCTACTAAAAAACGTCAAACCATCCAATTCTAATGACCATAGGTAATCGTTTGGAGATGTTCTTATATCAAAACTGATTTTTTTTTACTACTCTCTTTAGCAAGCGATGGCATAACAACAAAACCAGTTGAATGTTACAGTGTAGAGAAGCAAACTAAAACTACAGAGCTTAAGGACACATGTTTAAAATGAACATTTCACTCAAAAGTAAAACATACATATTGTTCCTCTTACCTGTGGTGCTCTTTATCAATCTACATTGTGGAGATGTCTGCCTAATTTCAAATATAATTGAAGTAGATGGCATGTTGCTCTCAAAGAGCCAACAAATACTTTGAAACTTCTATTTCCAGAAATCATGACCTAGTTACTCAAGATAATCTTCAGGCCTCGCTGTGAGCAGTCTCATGTAGATACCATTTTCTTTCTTTTATCTTTCTTTTTTTCTTACAGATTCTATTTGGTGAAAATCTCAAATCACAACAAAATGATTGATAGACAGCACTACAGGTCTGAGGAACATCATGTTTGTTTTTGTTTTTTTACTTCTGGGTAAAGTGTTCCCTCGTAGTTCTCAGAGCAGATCCTTACCTGTGTGATGTTGACGGGTGAGGAGAGGGTGGGGGAGAGCTGCTGGGGGGACTGCTGGAGATGGAGTTCAGAGGTGAGGGTGAGCGGCACCACGGGGGGCTGCCGGCGCTGAGACGTTACAGTCATGGTGGGCTGAGGGGAGCTGGGAATGCCTGGGGAGGGACATAATAATAATAATCAACATCATAGAGAACACATAAAGGTTTCTTTGTTTCCCACTCAACTCAAACCAACTGAGTGCTGTAAAGTGAAAACACAAACCTTTAACGATCAATTTCATATTGCCTACTAATTGCTGTGAAATATTGCAGGGCTGCGATATTATTTTCATTTTTAATTAATCTGGATATTTATGTGATTAATTGTTTATTGTATTAAATGTCAGACAATTGGGAAAATGTCCATTCCAGTTTCTCAAAGTCCAAAGTGATGTCTTTATAAAAGGTCTTTCTTTTTTCAGTCCAAAACCAAAGGATATTAAGTCTAATATGATATAAGAATGGTAAAAGCATATTTGAGGGTGCATTCACACCAGCCTTGTATAGTCCGGTTGAATCGAACCCCAGTGCGTTTAGCCGCTTGGTGCGGTTCGTTTGAGTCGGTGTGAACACAGTCCGAGACCTCTGAAGTGAACTAAACAACCGGACTNTGGTTATGGGTTTTGTAAGTTTGTTTTGTCTTCCTCCTTGTGTTTTGTCTGGTCCTCCTCCCTGTCGTTAGTTTCCCTGGTGTGTCTGATTGTCTCATTGTGTTCACCTGTTGCCCTTGTGTTTCTCCTTCCCCTGCCCAGCTGTGTCTTGTCCTGTGATTACCCTTCTGTGTATTTAGTCTAGTCTTCCCCTGTGTTCCATGTCGGTTCATTGTTTCCCCTCCATGTTATTCCACGGTCTGTGTTCCTTGTGCTGCTCGTTTTTTTTTTTGGGGATATTTTGGATATTTTGGATACTGCCTTTTTGCCACAGCTTTTATGATTTAATAAAGCTCGCTTTTTGTTAAATTCTGCATTCGGGTCCTACCTTTTCCACGCACCCTAACAAATACAAGACTAAATCGTTTTCATTCAACAAATGTTTATCAGTGGTTTTTCTCCAAAAATCTTATTTTGTATATTTGATGTTGTGAGTCACTATAAGAACTATTTTCTGTGCCAGGAAACTATAAATCTCTTTGTGTTACAGACATGAAGGACTACGTTCGCTACCTTTACTTTAAACACAAATGTGTTGGCCGGAAACTACAAACAGTAACAATGTGCATCTATTATCAAAAAGAGGATGGTAAGTTTGTTTAAATTAGATTTAAATACAATAATACAGTACGTCCAGGATTTCACACAAATCACAAGAAGAGGTCCCCCTTGATGTCCCTAAATAAATAAATAAAACATAATAAAGTGTCTTATAAGATAAGGTTTCCTCATAATCAAAAAGACGAGACGCAGCACCATATACCTACCATTCATGTACAGTCCAACGCTGATTTACACTTTAAGAGATGCTATAATCCCATTGGTATTTACGTCAGGTATTACCCATTAATGATAATCCTTATTCCTCATCACATGTGTGCAACATCAGATACATTATTGTATGTGCATGTTATCATGACTGAGAAAACAGTTATTTACCTGTCTAATGTTGCCAGCATGCAGTGTATTTATGAGATATGATGCTGACACTGATCCAGGTTAGGCTGGTGATCAAGTTTCAGTAAGCACAGCTAAGTTTATTAATTAAGGAACTTTGACCGAACATTCTCTTTTTCTCTGCAGCTCCCCTCAGAGAACCTCAGGACTTCATTTCTTCCAATGAAACATACACTTCTACTAACTTGTCTTGGAAAGCCATTCCCTATGCAGACCAGCGAGGTTTCCTCACACACTACAGCCTGTGCAGCGTGAAAGACAGTTCACAAGATGAGCGCAAAGGTTGGAAACATCGTTTTACTCATCTGTAGATTTTCAAGCAAACAATTAGATTTACTTGATTATGTATTTGTATATTTGACCTACTTTTAATTGAACAACAAACTCACTTTCACAGCCAAGTGTGACAGTGTTTAAGTGTCAGCAGTGTGTCCCTTTCTGAAAGTTTTCCCACATCTCATTTCATCAGAGTGCCATAAAATATCAGCCTCAGTGATGAAATATAGGCTGGGAAACTTGTCGCAAGGAACAAAATACCACGTCAGCCTGGTTGGAGTGACCCGAGAAGGAGAAGGACCTGAAGCCACAGTCACTATCAACACGCTGCCAGAGAAGCCTGTGAGCGGTATGAAAACTAAGCTGTAGTTTTGTATTTTTTACATACAGGTCACTGTAGCCGTTTTTACACATTTGGGAACAAACACCATTTTTATTTTTTCTCCAAATTAGTGTTGTGGAGTCTCTGCCTGCTGATTCTGTTTTTTTTACTCACAACATTGTGCACCTGCATCTTGAAGAGGTAGGTGAAGCCTGGTGTAAATAGTCTACAGTTTGAGATGAAAATATTAATAAAACAAATTATACAGACAGACTTAAAGCTGATTCAAAATCAGACTAACACATACTCCTGTTGTTCTGGCTTTGAAGCTAGTTCTTAATTGTTTTTCTGACCATATAGCAAATTGATGGTTTAAGTTGGTGAAGGCAATCTGTACTGGTTTTATTATATGTCCACTCAGTTTTTCAGAATATGTCCTTTTTTGTGTTGTTTTTAACGCTCTTCTCACACTTAGAATCAAAGAAAACATCTTCCCTGCTGTTCCGACACCTGTTATTCCAGATTTCATACCTTTTCAACCAGAGAGTCAGGTAAGAGACAGTTCTTTGCGGGTTTGCAGCTGTTTCTTCTAAAACCAGTTGAATCTTCAATTAGTTCCAGTTTCTCTAAAAGATGGGCCATTTCTTACTATCCTGTTGTAAAATGCTGTCTTGTTTGTTTGAGTTAATTGTACAAATATCTCACATTAAATATGGTATACATTTTAATGTGTTCACTTTTTGTGAGTGGAATAACTTGAATTCATTGTAAATGTATTAAACTTAAACCGATGTTTTGATTTTATAGTTGCATATTATTTATGCTATTAACAAGGCAGCAATCTAAGAATCTGTCCTTTACACTCTGTTCATACAGTACGACAATACTAGAGTTTAAAATCCTAAATTCCTCTGCTAATTTGAACAGGTTTTTCTGGAGAGAAAGGAGGAGGTGGATGAGATGACACTGCTCCAGCTACACCCAGAAGGAAAGTCTGTCCCTGAGGACGCAGAGGAGAGCGCTGTCCTCGCTGGAGAGTGGGAGGAAGACACTGATGAGGACAACGAGAGATGGGATTCAAGGATGTCAGGAGAATCCAGTGATGAGGATCTGAGTCCCGGCTCTACAGGGGAGGCACTGAGGAGCTCCAGAGAAGGAGAAATTACAGATGTGGAACAGCTGGACAATGAGATCGCCATGCTGATATACAAGAAAGGTCTGGTCTTCGATGTGAAGAGGGACTCCCTGTGAGATGAATTGAACTGTTCTTACAGCACAACATTGCACAAATGGGCTTTATCAAGGGTTGACATACTGTATTTTTTTACTTTCTCTGGAGACCTGACAAATACTTTTATCTGAAGAATTATCATGCAGGAAATATTTTTTTTCAATGAACATTTTTCAGCGTGCCTGTATATGACAAGTTGAGCATTTATCAGTCACAGGTTTTGTCAATACATCTTGTCCAATGGTAGAGCGCAAATCCTGGTTCAGACTTTTAGGATTTTGGCTTTTTTTTTGCATTATTATTGCCAAAAAACCTCATTCAGTTACTAAAGGACTGAACACAAGTAAAATGTCGAGGTACTTGTACTGTACTCACTGACTGCTCATAAATACTTCTACTCAGACCACCTTCTTCTAAAAACTGAAATTGTACATGTTGCAATTTGAGGTGCAGGTGATAAAACGGAGAGAGGGTTTTCTTTTAAAAAAAAAAAGACAGGCATTTTATTTCTTAGCCTTCCACAAAGACATTATTTTAAAGAAACTGCTTGTTCACCAGCAAGGAACAAAATGCCACACCTCTCCTCTCTTCCCAGTCACATTTATAGCAGATTACCCGCCTTCCAAATTCAACCTGGTCAATCAGGTCATGACTCATGAAAGGGTGAGTGAAGAGTTAAATACAGAAATAAACACTGTTCTCTACATTTAACAAAATCCTAAAGGCCAAAGTAAGTTCATCATTTATCAACACCAATATTACAGCTTCAAAAACAACAAGGTCTGCTTAAAACTGTTTTTAAGCTAATTGAGACACATAAAATCACACATTTTCTGACCAATCACATCAAAGACTCCGCCTATCATACGGCACATATAACGAGGCGTGCTCATGGGCGTGCTCCCCTTTGAGCGCTGACACGAGGGCCCATTCCCAAACCGCCCCCCTACACCCTACCCCTCCGTTTGCGCGTTCACGCGGAGGGCCCGCCATCTTGAGGGCTGTTCCAAACCAACGAGTGTGGAGTGATAGATAATATGTGACAGTATATGACAGTGGAGCCTCCCAGCGGCAAGAGGCTGTCGGTACAGAGGAAGGAGGTGCAGCAGACCGCCGGTGGGAGAGGTCAGCACCGTGTTCCCACCGGAGACAATGCTGTTTCCCCCCGTGCCTGCATAACGGGCTGTGTCTATACTTTTTTAAACGGCATGAATAGGCCATTCGTGCCTTTGACCTTCTGGTAACATTACTGAAAATGCTCCATGCGTGTTGCTTAGTGCTAGAAGATGGCGGAGTCAGATGGCGGGGACTGTGCTTCGAAACACCCACAGAGCAGGTGAGTGAAGCCGGGTAACGATGTGCTGTGTCCGCGGTGCTGTTTTGGTCCCTCGGTGTTACTTTGTGCGAAGCCTCCACGAATCCGTGGCTGCATGCCTATCGAGACCCGCTGAAGCGTGTCAGCGTCTCGGCTTGACTACGGGAAACACCGAGGAGCTGTGCTGGCCTCCAGGCGTCCACACTGACTGCTATGGGGGTGGCCAGCAGTAGAAATAAAGTAAGGGTGTGTGACAATTCCCATTCAGTGGAGTAAACACACCGAAGTGAGCCTGCTGTTTGTAGCAGATTAACTTCAACACACTGTTGACGTTTGGTAAAGCATTCCTCTTTTACTACTTTCAATACTTTGAAATGTTAATAACGCCACCCTTATTAATGTACATTTTAATTTAGTAGGCCTATGCTTTATTTGCATGACTGTAACAGGAAGAATATTGCCCTAAAAGATCAAGGCACAATTCATAATAGTGTCACTGTTATGATAAAATTGCGTAAAATATACAGCAAACTTACAAAAAAAAGTTAGGCGTAGCAACATTGTTACACTAAGAAGCTTTCACTGGAAACTCGACTAAATAAAGTTGCAAACTGTGAACATAAATGGTAAAAGTGAAAGTTTGTTGACTTTTTTTCATTCTGTTTTGAATATAATCTCATAAAACACATTGACTGATGTCAGTCATGTCTATTGGTTTCAATAAAGGCTGATAGTTCAACATGGGTTTGAAAACTGTACATTTGGCCGTTTTCTCATGTTGACGCGTCACTGTGGGAAAACCCACAGGTGTGAATACTTTGATAAAGGATGGTTTAGTAACTCCAGTGTTTTCAAAATGACTCCCGTACACAACAAATGAAAAAAGTGGAATACTTCACACTTGTAGGGCTTTATAGACAAACTGTTGTTTTAGCCCTAATGTGAAAATTGTAATCTTATATTTGGGCATATTCCTCATGTAATGACAATTTTGATTTGATCAGATATATTGTTTTGATATCATATAAAAAAAAAACACAAGCCTAAATGTTCCAGAGCTTTATTTTCATTAAATATTTCATGACCTGATTTCTGCTCGGTATTATATTCTAATCGGAATACAGAAGTGAAGGATTCGAACAATGGGATGTGTTAAGCAGATGGGATTTCTGTCATTTGTGATCTACCTTTTATTTGTTTGGATGCAATTTTGGTTCTCATTTAACAAAGCATGTGCATTAGGAAAGTGCCAAATAATATTAGCTGTCAGTACAAATATCTGATATCGTTTTTCTACATGTGGTGTTTGTTCAAATGTTTCATATTTGAAATTATGCCAGTAAGCTTAAATCTCAGGTAAAGTTTGTAGCCTTTTTAGTCTTGAAATATATTTGCATCTTTTATGTCTTTTGACATGTCTGTCCCCAGTGATGTAAACAAACAAGTTAGATTTTCTACCGCACACTGACCTTTGTTATTGCTTACCTGTAGCAGGGATGTTTCCAACACCGTGATCATGCTTCTTACTGATGGTTTACATTTTCTGTGCAGCAGCAGCAGCAACAGCAGCGGGTAGTCTAGACATGACATTTCTATTAATAGTAATGTTGTTTCTCTCCTGTGTGCAGATTTACTCTCACTAATGCAAAGACACTGTACACCACAGATTGCATTTCCTCTTGGCTCAGTGGCATATTAGATAAAATGTCCATCACTGTATTGCTGTGTGCAGCTACACCTTGAATTAACACCAGACATTAGATATCCTCATACGGATCATATTTATATTTTCTTGAGCTATACAGCCTGCTCAACCAGAAGATCAGAGCATCTAGCTCTTTCCTTATAGTGAAAAAGGAAGAAAGTGTCCACAAGTTCAAGTTAAAACTATAGGAGGGTTTTATATATAGGATCCCTTGATCTATTCATTGTGACAGTACCATTTTTTTCTTTCCAGTATGGCTAACAAGAATAGCACCCTGCGCTGTACATTCTCTACACCGAGCCACAGTGCCAGCCTCCTCCAGGGCTTGTCCGTCTTGCGCTCTCGGGGCCAACTACTTGACGTTGTGCTGGCCATCAATGAGGAGCGCTTCCAGGTCCACAAAGCTGTGCTGGCCTCCTGTAGTGATTACTTCAGGTTAGTATGAATCACAAGCCTTCTCACTGTCCATTTTTTATTTGGAAGCACTTAGCTGATGCTTTTATCCAGAGTGCTCTGAGTGAGCTGCAATCTGCAGATAAAATAGGACATTAAGAGCAATTCAGTTCGGGGAAAAAGGTAAAGAGTGGAAAAATGTGAAATTCACAACAAGCACTAAAGGATGCGCTCACTTGTTTTCTTTCATTTTATTTTTAATCTGAACTAGGGTGTGATTATATATGAATGTAGTATAGATGTTGTGATATGAGACCAGATACATTGTGAGGATATGGTGAAGCGTGAGTGTTGTTTTTTACTGGTTTAAAGCTGCATTACAGTAAAGTTATGTATTTTTCTGAATTTACCCTACTGTTCTAGCTCTTCTTTTTCCCATTTTCTGAGGATGAAATTTCATGTCATACAAGTGCTCTAACTAAATCTTGAAATGTCATACAAAATTCAAATCTTGAATTTAGAAGACATAGATTTGTACAAATGTGATCTAGCTCATTAACTTGTTCTTTTGTTACAGAGCAATGTTTACTGGAGGCATGAGGGAGGCAAATCAAGATACCATTGAGCTGAAGGGCCTGTCCGCCCGCGGACTGAAACATATCATTGACTTTGCCTACAGTTCAGAAGTCACTTTAGACCTGGACTGTATTCAAGATGTCCTCGGGGCAGCCGTTTTCCTTCAGATGGTTCCAGTCGTGGAGCTCTGCGAAGAGTTCCTCAAATCAGCGATGAGCGTGGAGACCTGCCTTCACATCGGCCAGATGGCCACCACCTTCAGCCTGTCTTCCCTCAAAGAGTCGGTGGATTCCTTCACCTTCCGCCACTTCCTTCAGATTGCGGAGGAGGATGACTTCCTGCACATTCCCATGGAGCGCCTAGTCTTCTTCCTGCAGAGCAACAAACTGAAGAACTGTAGCGAGATCGACCTCTTCCATGCCGCCATCAGGTGGCTCCAGTATGACGAGTCTCGCCGGGCTCAAGCCGGCAGCGTCCTCTGCCACGTGCGCTTTCCCCTCATGCGCTCCTCTGAGCTGGTGGACAACGTTCAGACGGTGGACATCATGGTGGAGGACGTGCTCTGCCGCCAGTATCTCCTCGAGGCCTTCAACTACCAGATTCTTCCCTTCAGACAGCATGAGATGCAGTCTTCGCGGACACACATACGTTCTGAAGTCTTGTCAGTCATCACCTTTGGAGGGACGCCGTACACTGACAACGACCGCACGGTTTGCAACAAGGTGTACCATCTCCCTGACATGGCTTCTCGTCAATTCAAAGAGCTGACAGAGATGGACACAGGGTGCAGCCACGCCTGTGTTGCCGTACTTGATAACTTTGTGTACGTCGTTGGTGGACAGCACTTACAGTACCGGAGCGGCGAGGGGGCGGTAGACAGCTGTTTCCGTTACGACCCGCACCTCAACCAGTGGCTGCGCATCCAACCTTTGCATGAGGCTCGTATCCAGTTTCAGCTCAACGTGCTGCGTGGACAGCTGTATGCCACCGGAGGGCGCAATCGATCTGGCAGTCTGTCATCTGTAGAGTGTTACTGCCCAAAGAAGAACGAGTGGACTAATGTGGAACCATTGAGGCGCAGGATTTGGGGTCATGCAGGGACTCCCTGCGGGGAGAGGCTGTACATCTCGGGGGGTTATGGCGTGTCGTTGGAGGATAAGAAAACTCTTCACTGCTACAACCCAGCCTCAGACCAGTGGGACTTCAGGGCCCCCATGATTGAACCCAGAGTGTTGCATGCCATGATCAGCACCAGGGATCGGGTTTATGCTCTGGGCGGCCGCATGGATCACGTGGACCGTTGTTTTGACGTGCTTGCGGTGGAGTATTACATTCCAGAGAGCGACCAGTGGACCACCGTCAGCCCCATGAGAGCAGGACAGTCCGAGGCCGGCTGCTGCTTACTGGACAGGAAGATCTACATCGTCGGGGGCTACAACTGGCACCTGAACAATGTCACAAGCATCGTGCAGGTGTACAACACAGAGACAGACGAGTGGGAGAGGGATTTGCACTTCCCAGAATCCTTTGCTGGCATCGCTAGCACACCAATTATTATTCCACAAAACACCACACAACGCTAACCAACCGACCTGTGACTATGAAGACTTTACTATATGTGATCTTTACTGCCGACCACTGACGCAAGGAGTGAACATTATGTTTGTGTGTTGTTCAGTCATTTAATGGAATGGCCCGAAAAGCTACGAAGCAGCATTACTCATTTGGTATATTATCATGTGTCCTTGTTTTGGTCAAGAAATGTTTAATCAATCAAACAAACCTTTTAGAGCACAATTTGATTTGAAATTACTTTTATGTAAAACACGTCAGGATCTTAATACACTTATGATTGTGACACAGGCTTTCAAAGGACCATTTGAAGGAACATTTGTATGCGTTCCTGGGGAACAGCATATAAAAAGCTAATGAGACGTTTCCTATTTATATTTAATTTCTTTGAAATTATTTCTCTTATTAATGGTAAAGATATCATTTATCTTCTGGAGTAGCATCACCTAAATAAAACAAATTACTTTGTAAAAATATTATAGTTTTACCAATGAAGGGCTAAAGTTACATACAGCACAAATTGTCTAACATTTTGAATGGAAGTCTTGAGTTAGATCGTGTGTTTACAAAGGTATCAACAGACTGAACCTTATATTGTTAGACATTTTGATAGTATAGTTTTGAATGTTTTATTAAGATTATCCTTTTTTGACCGAATCGCAGTGTTGTTTGTCTCCTCAAATGTACTTGTCAACAAACCACAACGGACAGTAATGATTGCACAAATGAACACGGGTAGTGTTTGTGTTTTATGTTGATATCTCATATTAAATGCGGTGTTAATGTTGTTTTTATTTAGCTACCCTGAGTATCCTGAGCTGAAACCTGACAGTAGTTGTTCTCTCAGTCACATAAGAAGCCAGTTTGGACCTCTTAACGCAGCTACATGAATCATTCATGTGTTTTTAATGTCAGTGTGTGCTGCTCTTTATGTTAAACAAGTGTTGCATATTGGTTTTGTCCCTTGACTTACACAATATAGTGCCATTTATTTATACAGATTTAACATCAAAACTACTCTGAAAAATCATTTAAACAATCTTTTTGCTGTGTTTGATACCGGCTTGGGTTTTTATTTTTACTGCATTGCTGCACTTTTCAGTATTTGTCAGGCGTCTGATTATGCCGCTGAATTTATTAATATACGTTATGTGTTTAAGGAAGACATGTTCTTCTTTTTAAATGTGATCATCTACACAATGATGTCCATACATGTTTCTCCTGTTGCCTTAGTGTATTAGTCTTGTTTTATGTGTACCAGTAAAAGCACATGATATTATTGAAGTGCAATATAAAGGAAGCCACTCTTGTCGAAGGGGAATGTAGACATGTGTGAGGTTTTATGTGCAGCCTATTAAAGTTGTATCATGTTTTAAAAATAATTTCCAGGTGCTTTTTCTGTCCTTATTTTCACAACAACTCAACTAAGGCACAATACATTACAGTATGACATTTTGAGCTTTTTTCATATCCACAAACCCCCAAAGACATTTGAGAATAAGTGTATGGAGCTTTTTAAGATTAAACGTATACTAATAAACCAACATTTATGTTTTTTAACGAGTAATTTTCAGATTATTTTCTTCTATTTTCTATATTGATTTCTCTATAAATGTCTTAACTTTATTTGTGTCCAACCAACAGTTTAAAACCAAAAGATATTCAATTTACAGAGATATTAAACAGAGAAAAGTGTGAAACCCTCTCAATTGAGACCCTTGTTTTGTCTTCGGGGCAATTTGAAGAGGCAGGTAGAATAGTACAGCAACACTAAGAAATATAAGATATTACTTCATTAAAAAAGCATGGATCTATACACATTATGATAAAAATATGGAATGATGATCTTAGTGTGAAAAATACCCTCATGGTAAGATAATATTGATGTGAAATGCTAATATTACTGCACAAAAAACTATTCACATTAAGATAATGAATATAATGATATGCGATTGTTGATCTTAGTGTGATACAATTATAATAATGCAGTATACACAGTAACCCCTCTGCCTGCGCAATATGGAAACCAGAGTGGGTATTTTTTTTAGTTGGTTGCCTGGATGTAATGGTTTTTGATGACCCTCTCCATAGCTTTCATCACAAGAGATGTGAGAGCAACATGCCTGAGGTACATCAGGGCCTTAATAGTGATGGACCACCCATTTTCTCTTCAGGACCGGTTTATTAAAACACACAGCCCACGTCCTTTTGTACTGTCTTTAACCTTTCCTTCAAATATTTTATGAATTGTAAGGTGCTCTTGGGTGCTTTGAAACGCGCCTCTTAATAGATTGAATAATAATAATTATTATTATTATTATTATTATTCATTGAAACCTGCGTCTATTTTATTATCTGAAAAGTGTGTCCGATACACGTCTTAACTTCTAAAATGCAAATGCATTACTTTGCCTAAGCTTTATAAACAGTAAGATACTTGAGGGAATTTGCAATGATTTGCTCAGGAAACACGTGGCTTTATGAACACCGAAGCCTATTTAAGGTTTATAATTCTTATGGGATTTATTTTTTCATTTAATTTTATATTGTTTATATGGTAATATACAGTATTATATGTATGTTTTTTCGACGATATCTTGTATGCCTATGTTCTCTATTGTGTGTTCAATAAAGTATATAATATACACCTTTGCAGTGTACACTGCAGATGTATGAGAAGAATGCATCCTTTTTTCACATTTCCACTTTTTAAATTGTAATGTAGCCTATGTATAGGCCTCCTTTGTTTTGAACTATATCCACAACCACAATACACTTTATCCTCATGCTGTCTACTGTCAAGTCAACAGCAGGTGCAAAAGGCGAAGAAATATCAACACACTACGCTGACCGTGCGTGATGACGACACCAGAAGGCCCTAGCGTGGTGCGTAACGTAACATTCCATTGAGAAGAAGAGGGGAAAGATGGCGTCCTCTAACAATCCTCGCAAATTTAGCGAAAAAATCGCTTTACATAATCAGAAACAGGCGGAGGAAACTGCTGCGTTTGAAGAAGTGATGAAAGAGCTGAACATCACCAGAGCTGCTCGGGTAAGAGCTGCACACCCCGGCTGTTTATGTTTTGTTGCATCGCTGTTTGGCAGCTGTCGGGCGCTGCGGACATAAACCTGAACGCTGGGATGCTAAGTAGCTAAAGTTGACATTAACATCCTCTAATATCAATGTCAGTTCACCACAATCAAATAATGCTTTCACCGTACCTGTTCAGCTTTAAATCCTGCCAGCGTTTTTCCGATATAACCAGCTACTCGTGTGCAGCGCTAGCCTAGCTAGCGTGCTGGAGCTGTGAATAATAATGTGCACCTGTGCTGGATTGACTAGTCACTGGTGTCCTTTTCGTTAGCAAACAAATCACCGATATGTGAATAATTGTATAACAACATGTTAGGAAAGTCAGCTGCTAGACAACATATGAAGCAATATCACTCAGAGGTCTAAGTTATCATTTGCTGGCCAGCCAGATGTTTTAACCAGATGTGATTTTGTTTCCTTGCTGTTAACCATCGCTTAACAGTGTGTGTTATTGATTACATCTTTGTCAAGACTTAGCGTTAATAAGGAAAATGTGGTGTTCCTTTTATCTTTTTTAATCCAAGAAAAGTATAATTATGTCAACAAAAAAATCTATTAAAACATATTTCAGTTTTCTTGAAGGATGAGGAGCAATATGGGAAGCTACTTTTTCCTGTCAACAGTAAATAGTTTCCTTATTCGTTGAGGTTGTAACTTGACTGATTTTGTTCAGCCATTGATGTGAAATAAATGAATTAGAAAATAAAGTATTTATAGAATCATATATGTGTAAATGCAATAATGCCAAATGTTTGGGTTCCTGCGAGGATTTGCTGCCATTCTCTGTATATGATAAAGCTAATATGTTTGAATTTTGAACCATTACTCTGACCTTTTTATAGAATAAATAATTGATGAATTGATGGTGAAAATAATTAAATGAAAGCCTTAGAGTACTGTGAAAATCAGAAAGTAATATAAACCTTATTTAACATTATGGTGACACTTTAATATTATTGTATTATTTCAGGAACATTTCCAAAATGATCAATAATCAAAGTTGTTGACATTTAATTAACTGATAATCAAGTAATAAACACATTGTTTCAGCCACAGTAGTAGTGACATCTTGTTGCCAGGAAGTGTTTGGGCTAATTATTGGCCCAATTGCAGGAAATGATGCCCACTTTCCACACGCCTTCATCCGTTTATATCTGAGCTGTACTGTCATTTATTGCAGGGAAAAAACTAAATTAAAGTCAGCTTATCGTCTCTGCCAGATTTCTTTGTGTTGCCATCTCAACATCAATCCATTGTATTTGTTCAGATCATTATCAACTTCATTATAAGTAACAGAGCACTTCCATCACTGTTTTTGTAATACCATGCATTACTTTTGTGACTGGTTTTGTGTTAAGACACATGGCTAATGTTATCACCAGGTGTGTTACATTGAAGGACTGAAATCACACCAGCTGTCAGTCTTCAGGTGATGTGATTCTGTTTTTTGTTGTGCTATGAAAGATGTCTGCTGGTTGTTCTTGAAAAAGCCAATCTGCCTGTCTCATCATTTTTCATCTGTCAATCTATCTTCCATTTCACCCCTGTGGACTGGCAGGTGTCATTCATTTTTAGCATCACTTTATTTGTAAATCAGATCAATCATTCACTCATGCTTTCATGCAATTTTACTTTGCACAGTTGCAGTTACAGAAGACCCAGTATTTGCAACTAGGGCAGAATCGTGGACAGTACTATGGAGGCTCACTGCCCAATGTCAATCAGATTGGAAATGGCAACATTGACCTGCCTTTTCAGGTGAGCCCTTAGCCTCTCTCGGCTGGTAAATCAATGGTTTGTTCTCAATCAGTGTACCTTGCTAAGCTGTTGGTGATAATGAACTAAAACAAAGGTTGCAGTTATCTGTTTGTTTTGGCTTAAAAACAGAGAAGTCTGCAGGTGTAGCTGAATCTTGAACGGCTGCATAGTCCTACCAGGCTGTTATCATGGTCCAGGAGTGCAAAGAAGTGTGTAGTTTTACCCTGCAATGTAATTTGGTTCCTAAATTTTAAAATATATCATTGCTTGTCATGGCTTTCCATCTTTAAACACATTTGCCAACTCGAGCATCAGTATGGGGGGCCCATGGCTTGACTCATTTTTTAAATGAACACATTTGCACCATTAATCCTAAAACATTTACCCTAAAACATCTATCCTAAAATAGTTTTGTCCTACGAGAAAACTGTTTTGCTGGCCTCATTCACCTGCTGTGTTCAAATCTAGAACTCTGTGCTGGACACCAGTCGGACTACTAGGCACCACGGGCTGGTGGAGCGTGTTTACCGTGACCGCAACCGCATCACGTCTCCTCACCGCCGGCCGCTGTCAGTCGACAAACATGGACGCCAAATATCCTTTTTTTGTTCTTGGAAGCATTTTGGTGTTGTTTTACTAGCAAGTCGGCTACCACAAGTTTGCCTCTAGTTAACTGTGTCATTTAAGTCCGCATGTTAAGAGGAACATCATATTTTAGGAAGGTTTGAACAGGTTTCATATATTGAAGCTTCTGAAGCTTTCGGTGGAAGCGTCAGCCAATCAAATCATATGCCAGTACAAGCTCTAGCCAATCAAACCGCTGCTTGTGTGTCAGGGGAGGGAGATTCATGTGATTGGTTGTTGGTCGAGCTTCAGACACGCCCGCCGGCAAGCTTTTTTTGAAGCTGTAGTGTCGATGGGCCGTTACACTATCACCTGTTAAAACATAGTCTGTAAATGGAAAGCATCACACTTAATCGCAACGTTAAACTAAATCAAGTCATTTCCCAAATGTGTTTTAAATAAATAAAACAAATAACATCTGAGACAGATAGGAACAGAATAAATTATTGAATGTAGCTCTGCCTTGTTCCACATATTTGAGCCTTACATGAAACAATACAATGCGATACTGTGTTTTGTTAGACTCGGGTCATTGACATGAGTTTTTTTTTAGACATATATTGGATAACAAGACACTGACTGAAGCCTTTTTCAAAGTTATTGAATCCTTACAACACTTGTGAGTGTGGTTAGTTATTATGTATCCGGTTGAATCAGCCGGCAGACAAGAAAGTGTGGATTAGCTGCGATCCATTTTTCATCCCCTCTACTTTATTCGCCTTAACCAAATTCACATCGACAGCTGTCCTTACAGCTCAGTGTACCTCTCCCCACCGCCAGACACTAGCTGGAGAAGGTAAGCTAACTCCCCTTGTCCATATGCCCACATTTGAACTAAGATACACAACAACACAGCTCAATTAGAATGTTAAAGCACATGATTTTGTGCATCCATGTTTGTACAACATTTTAAAAGTAGCCCAACACAAAGGGCACATTTAGCTGTTTGAAGGCAAGTAAAGGTCTGTAACAGAATGTGGCTCTTCCTTGATGGGGTGCTGTAGAATTGGCTCTCTGCCAGGTTAGGGGATTTGCCCGGGATTTTGCTGACATCTAATCTTTCTCACACATACAGGACAAATTCAGACTCTGCCTTACACCAGAGCGCCATGAATCCCAAACCCCAGGAGGTGTTTGCCGGGGGATCACAGGAGCTGCAGCCTAAACGAGGTAATGGAGGCTCCAGTTACAAAACACACAGAGCCGCACTCATTTATTAATGTGCAGTGTACTAATGCAGGCTGCAAACTTTAAATGACATAAAAGGGTTGAAGTAGATCTGTTGATGAAATATGTATGGAGTAAATGGATACTGATCCAAGGCAAAGAAGTGCTTCAGCAAGCTGCTATAGTACTCTGCAGAGAAGTAACATCTCTGAATGGAGCTGACTCAGTGTGAGCTACAGGGGAGGATCAATAATTCACTGATTATCCATGGATTATGTCTTTTTATGTGTGAGGCTCTCGTATAATGAAGCCAAGATTGGCTGGCATCCACTCGGTCTGTCTGGTGGTCACCTTGCTATTTTTAGACGCTCAGAAATCTAGTGCACAGCTTTATTCTGCCTGACTGGCTCAGATATTGATGACTCATTTCTTGCCCTGATTTGTATTGTCATGCATTTTTTTCAAAGAAAAGCCTGTGTCTTGCTGCTTCCCTTATTAGTACTGCTGCTAACAGTGCCTGGGACCGAGAACTCTGAGTCAAACGAGGATGCGCAGGAACAGTTGTGGGATGACAAGAAGGTACTGACGGGAAAGGGAAGGGCTAACCAGATAGACACTTTTTATGTGAACCACGTCAGATTTACGGCTCATTATTATGTTCTCTCCTCAGGATGATTCATCAAACGCATGTGATGTCCCAGGAATCAAGTGAGTGGTCTATTGTTTTATTATCTTTCCAGTCAAACTGTGACCCGTCAGTCACACTGCTATAAATAAGTCGTGCTGTAAGTGCACTGATACAAGACAGCTGGTTGAGGTACAGTGGAAAGATGCTGGAAACATTAACATGTCGCTGGAACTGTAGGAACTAGTTATTATGGTAGTAACAAACCGATCAATCATTTGTGTTTATCAGAAATATCTCTCTTACAAAGACTCCTTTTATCCTGCATAATAAAATATCTTTCATTCAAGATAGGCCTTCTAATTTATAATTGTACATGAGATGAACATCAAACCAATGGTACGGAGTTATGCATGGAGTGTACTCCCTATACAAATCACAGAAGAACAGTAAGGTTGGATGAAACATTCAGTAAAACAGCATCTTTTAAATAGAGGTGTTGAAGAAATGTACAATCTAGTTTGGCTAAGCTTTGACCAAAATACAGACGTGACGTTGATTATGTTGATGGATTTTGTGGGCGGTTAGTCTGAGTCTGTGGATCGGCTAATACGGGTAATAGTGATTTGATTATTTGCAGTGAGTGGTGGACACTGGTATAAGTATCTGAATTGTCCAGTGCTTGTCTTGTATGTGTGCGATGAGGATCCAAATAAACTAAACTTAAACACAATTTGATAAACATCCCTGTAGAAACCCAAAGGTTGATAATCATGTAAAACTTTTTCCAAAGTAGTTCAATATGAGAAAAGCTCTTCTCCTGTCTGACAGCACTTCTTGTCTTTTAGTATATTCCCATCACCAGACCAGGAGTTGAACCTGTCCTTGCTCCCTGCTGCACACAACACCGGGGGCTCGCTGCCTGACCTGACCAACATCCAGTTCCCCCCCCCACTGTCCACCCCACTGGACCCCGAGGACACCGTGGCCTTCCCCTCCCTCAGCGCCTCCACCAGCACGGGCAGCCTGACCACCAACCTCACCCACCTGGGCATCAGCGCCGCCAGCCATGGTAAAGTTACTATTAGAAAAACACTCAAAGTTAACCTGCTGTTAAAGAAAATGATTACATTTTTAACAACACAATTCATCTTTTAAAAGAGTTGAAGATATTGGATGCTGCAACAATTAAAATTGATAGACAGAAATAAAATCTCCAACCATTTTGATACTCATTAATTAGCTTTTTTCAGCCTCTCAGGGTGCATTCACACCTAATAGTCCACTTCTCTGGTGGGCACCAGACCACAGTTTGTTACATTGTTTCATTTTTCAGAAGGTTCGGTTTGCGTTCACACTGGCAAAACTCAAACGGACTATAAACTTTAAACACAAGTCATGTGCTCGGAAATGCTGTTCAACCATTGGTCAGACATTAAGGGGGTAAAAACGCAAATCCCGGCAATTTCTACCGGAGCCNCCAATAAACACTTTTTTTTAATTATTTATAAATATTAAATAAAAAAATATCATACATCGTAGCATTAAAGTTCAGTTTATTTATAATTTAAAAAATACAAATATTTTTTTATTTAATATTTATAAATAATTAAAAAAAAGTGTTTATTGGGGGAGGGCAGGAATGTAAAATGGGAGAGCCTGGCCCTCCCACGGCACCGGGTCTGTCTTTGTCCAAGGTTTTTGTTTCTCAGTACTCAGCAGTTATTTAGCACTGTGAAATAAATAGTTTTACAAATTTGAGAAATAGCAATGATTGATTCCACTCACATGTACAGCTAGGAGACATTTAGCTTGGCTTAGGTTAGTTAGCGCGAGAGCCAGTGAAAAAACCTAGCCTTTCTCACACCAAATTGTAAACAAAACACCAGCTAACACATCTATAGCTTAGTAAATTATTGTTAGGGTGCGTGGAAAAGGTAGGACCCAAAAGCAGTATTAACGAAAAATGAGCTTTATTAAATAACAAAAGCTGTGGCAAAAAAGCCAGTATCCAAAATATCCAAAAACAAACGAGGAGCACAAGGAACACAGACCGTGGAATAACATGGAGGGGAAAAAATGAACCGATATGGAACACAGGGGAAGACTAGACTAAATACACAGAAGGGTAATCACAGGACAAGACACAGCTGGGCAGGGGAAGGAGAAACACAAGGGCAACAGGTGAACACAATGAGACAATCAGACACACCAGGGAAACTAACGACAGGGAGGAGGACCAGACAAAACACAAGGAGGAAGACAAAACACCGAATGACAAACTTACAAAACCCATAACCAGACAGACAACACTAAAACCGTGACATAAACCTAGGAGTGTGACAATTATATCTGGCTGTGGGGTTTCCTGGCAACCAGTGGAGAGTTCTAGCAGTCACTGGACCCAGCTAAGAAATATAGTCCCGCATAACTCCTGAAACCTCCTGTAAAACGGAAAAGTACTGTGCATTTGGCCAACATCATTTGGAGACAGCCGTATATTGCGTATCAAAAATGATGACTACAACTATTGACATAACATAGGAAACAAGCTGAAAGCATCTCTATGTGCTAACCCATTAAAAACTAAGAGCATACTGCGGCTGTGGGTGATATACCGAATTTCCATTTACCTCTGACTTTCTTCCAATTCAGAGTGAGCATTAAATATTCATAGCATCTGCCAGGCTGTGGAACCCCTCTGATTTGAACAGACTGCTGCCACAGACTCCCAGACCTGTCATTGTGTCCTTTCCGATCTGGAAATGGAGTTGCAGCCTCTCGCACTGAACCATGAAAAGGACTCATGTTGCTTGTATTTCCCTGCTCTCTCTGAATCTACAGTATACAACAGCAGAGGAAAAAAAGAGAGTCAAAAGTACTTCTTGAATGCATAAACATCAGTTATGGCTGACATTTTGAGTTTATTCACTGTTTCTCAATATAACAGCAGTCACCACATTGGAAAAGTGCACATGCATGTTTTCCCAATTGGTGTCAGATTCTATTTCTCCGACCCTCATTAAGGACAGTGAAATGTAATGAACCCAATTGCTATAAACCATATCAGGATAATCTGCGTGTACAGATTTGGTTTAACTAAAGCACCAAAACTGTTCACTTCTTTTTCTTTCGCTGTGGCAGAAAAACTTCTCTTTGGTTCTCACTACTGACTTTCTCATCCCATTTTTAAATGTCTCTCACTCTATTTTGTACACATACAATTATTGTGTACAATTTTCTTTCCTCCTGGGAAGTGGGAGGATTTCTTAAGAACCCATACACTTTTCTGTTTTGTGTGTTCAAGTTAGGATTAAGAGAATCCAGAGAAAACCGACCAAAATCATGGGGTTAAATGTATGCCTTTTAAGCAAACTGCACCCAATAGTAGGCCTAGGCCACAAGGCACATCCAACGTTATGAAAGACATGCAAGGTTACATTTCCAGTACCGAGGTTTAGGCACCAAAGCTAAGTGGAAGGGTTACGTAATTCTGTTAGTTACACACTTTTGCTTACATATTCCAAATCATAGGGATACACTCAACTGACGATTCGATACGATTCACGATTTTAACAGAATGAGCTGCGGACAAATTATGACTGAAAAATATTTCTGTATTTATATAAACTGTACAAAACGACGTACATGTTCTCATCAAAAGTGCAACTGAAACTGTGCAACTGTATTTTATCTTAAATAACAAAAATATACATAATTGGATTTTGAAAACAAATATCACATCAAAATGAGACATTTATTTTTATTTATGGATATCTTACTAATCACTCCCATTTTAAACTATATGTTTATTTATTTACTGTCATTTAGTACACATTGGAATTATTTCTTACCTTGTTTTTTACAACTATATTAAATAGATAAAGGTGTGCATTGGAATTATTTGTTTACATAGATGACCAAACTATTTGAGACCCACTGAGATAACTTTAGACTAAAGTCAAAGTGTTATCTAAACACTCAGGGAGTCCTTTACCTAACTGAGGTAGTTATCAGCCTCTCAGTCAGACAGGAGAGAGCTCTCCCTCCACCTTGTTATAGAAACAGCTCTTTATACCCGTTAGCGCAGCTAGCACCAGATGCTAATAACCATAGATATATATAAACACTAGATGACTCACCCGCGCTGCTGGCCAATGGAGACCGACGTTGCCACATGGCGGCCATCTTGCCACAGGCAGCTCGCTCATTCATAACATTATTTCTATGGTGCACTATTGAAATAACCGTAGATTGCTCAATTTTCAACCAATTTTCAAATGGTTTGGTTTGTTATAAACATCAAAGATGTAGTTATGATACTGCATACTTATAATTATAATCATGAACTGTTTTTTTTCAACATGTCTTGTTGTCTCCTGTATCATAGCCATGCTATTAACGTTTATAATAAACCAAACCGTTTGTAAATCAGTCAAGAGTTCAGCGAGTTAAGAGTATTTTTGTGCAGATCACTCACCTTACAACAGCTGTAGCAGTAGCTGTTGACTGTGGCAAGATGGCCGCCGGTGAGCTACGCTGGCGACTCCCGCTTCAGCCATCTAGTGTTTATATATATATATCTATGGTTGCAATGGGAATGGTTAGCAATCCAGCCGCCAGACCCAGGCCTAGGGCCTGCGCGACGACGGACAACGGCTGGG